GAGGGAATAAAGAAAAGCCCTTTGTTTCTCACATTAAAGGAGCACAAAGGCGGCGTTCAACTGCACGGCAGGTGTGAGAGGCGAGGGAGGCGTAATGAGCGTCGCAATTGATGGCCGGCAATTTACAAACCACTTCCGCGAGTAGCTGATTTATGTCGGGCAAAGTATTGCGGTGTCGAGTAAATGCATCAAAAGTTTGAAAATTAATTACAAATTGCCGCGGCTCGTTGAAAGTTTTACTCCAAGAAGAACGTGTTGAAAGTGCACAATTTGCATCTACTTTATAATCTCCGCTGAAATGAAGTTCTTTGCTATGCTTTGGGCGGATGAAAAAATTGCAACTTTTAATTTGTCAGAATGAAGAGAAAATGAAGATAAAATCTTCTCCTTTTTTCTAAAATTCCCTTCATTATTCAATCAGGAAAATAAACTTCGTATTTTTTCATTCTGATTCAAATTGTATAATTTGAGTAAAAACGAATATTTTGAATTTGTTCCGAAAATTATTGTTTTCATAAGCTTTCTTAAGTATTTTAAAGCTTCAAGATCAACAAATGATAAAATTGAAACTTTTATTATTAAATAATACTTGAATTTGAATCGCATGTTAAAAGAGCGACTTTTTTTCTTTAAAAATTAAATACTCCAAAATAGTCTTAATTTCCTTAAAAAAAATCATTCAATAAAAAACTTTTAATACGATTTGATAAATGTTTTTTTTAAATATTTGTAGAACCTTTAATTATTTCAGTGTAGGAATTATTTAAAAATATATGATTTTGTAAGTCTCGAAATTGTGAGTTTATTTGAAGCTAACATGTTATTTTTTTCCACTAACACGGTATAGCATATTGTACGTGTTGTATTTATTCTACCTGTTCTATTTGCACTATTCCTCCATTTCTGATTAACCTGTGCTTTCTGATGAAACTTTTGCTCCACTTCACTTTGATAAAAACACGGCGCCGGTTTGCCTGAACAGGCTCGAAACACACATGACCAACTTTGCGATTGGCGATCCATCTCTACTTCTGACTGAGTGAGAGACCTGTGAGCATTTTCGCACAGGGAAACTCCGAAATCGTGTGTGTACATATTGATTTACATGTAAAAAAAAATACGTGCTTTGGTAGCAAACAAAAATGGCAAACACGCTCGGAGATTTTTTTTCGCTTTCGCTTGGTGGCTTTTTGCTGGCAGCTTCTATTGTTAAATAATAAAATCCGCTGACAGGGTGGTGAAACAATTGGCCCACCTAGCAACACAAGGGTTGAGTGACGTGCAAAAATTCGATAAAAAGCTGCTCGTGTCAATTGGCCTCGATTTATATATAAAATAAGGTACCGTCTGCCAGGACATTGGAAAAGTTATTGCCTTTTATGTCGTTAGAGCGGCAAATCGGTCAAATAGGTATTCGTGTTAAATATATTTAAACAAAAATTTGCCAATATATTGGACCTCTCTGGCGTAGTATTTCCCGCAGTCGTAATTATTGCCAAAGGGAAGTGGTGCGAAAAGAGAGTGCGGTCGTGATTAGTTTCAAATTATTATTTCCGGCACTCGTCAGTAAAATGGAATTTAGACAAAAAGCGAAAATATTGATTTCTATTTAACATTCACAGTATTTAATTTTTTTTACTTTTTTTGGTTAAAAAGTTACATTTTTCCCCACAAATCACTATTTTACTTTATCAGTTTTCAACAAAAAGGTTTAAAATAAATTATTTTATAATTTCCGATTTTTTTTTTATAAATTGTGAAGGAATGAAATTTTACACATATAAAATATGAGCGCAAATGTAAAAATCAAGATTAAAAAATCTGCAAACGGTCCATGCAAAAAATAAAAAATTAGAATAATTAAATTAAATAAAGATTAAAAATTAACAAATTAAAAAAAAAAATGAAAAATTATATTTTTAATTCCATTATTATTTTAACAAGATTGGCTAAATTTGTAAGGATTTCCTAGTAATTATGAGCTTTTGAAAAAAAATTCAAAATTCAAAACGACTCTGTTGACCAGTCAAACAATAATACAGATTGCTTTAAATCCTTTGAAATTTGCTAGAAGGAAAAAATAAATATCTTTCCATCTGCGAATAAATTTACTCAGATATTCCACTCGCAAATTTCTAAACATATAGAGCGGGGCACGTGCACAATTTAGAACAACAGAGGGCAACTTCCAAATCCGACTGGAGCTCGTTGTGGCGGCAAATGAGGCGGAGAGAGAGGGAGTGCGAGACGGTTTAGTGATCATGCCAAAATATGAGCACCAAATTCAACTAATAAGCTTCTGCCGAGGGCTCAACGTGTCCCTCTGTAATATGCCTGTCGTCAGCTGGGGGCAGTGAAGCACATTGCCGAGGGAGCGAGGAAACTTTTGCATGCGAATGTTGGTTTTGCGAACCATGTGTGTTCGTATTTGAGAACTTTGTTGGTAAATATTAAATTACTTCTACATGCGTTTGTTTAAAATAATAAAAAAATCAATCAAAATGTGATATATTCAAAGAATCTATCAAAAATTAATTTCGCAGCATAATTTTAATAAAAACTTAAATATCATAAATAAATAAATTATTTATTTTAAGCTCAATATATTATACAACATGGGTCAAAGGATAAAAACTTGATAATTTTATGAATTTAAACTAGCAATATACAGCTGTTTTCGCAAAATTGAGGAGATGAAGACGTAAAATATTAATTTCAACGTCAAAATTTTGATTAGCATAATAGAAGAGAAATATTTGGGGCAAAAGTCCTATGATTGATGAAAATAAATAAATTTAATAAATATCCTTTCAAAAACAGCAGATATTTGTAGATTGCAAAAACACAAATTTGATTATCCAATAGAAACCTCAAAGTAAAGTTTATATCAATTTCGTATTTCAAATTGTCAATATTTTTCCAAAATTATCAAATTATTTAAATTCTTATAGTCGTTAATTTTCCGAAAATATTTCTTCAACCTGAAATGTGTGTTAATTTTTTTTTTCTTTTGCTTTTTTTAAGAGGTCTTTCATTTACAATTAGACGAGCGCCTTGGTAGATCTAGCTACACTAAACTGTCACTTGTAATTAAATAAAAATAAAAATTAATAAATAAATTACTAGAATTCTTTTTTCTTAAAAATGGAAAAGCTTACTTTTAAACTGGATTGAAAGTCAAAATTTGATGGGAAAAAATTAAAAAAAAAAAAAATCAATATAGACTCCCAGGACTTACCAAGAGTTTTTTTTTTAAATTGTTTTTGAATTATATTTATAAATTCTTGTGTGTTTCCATTTTGTTGTAGACATGTTGTGTTTGTTTATTACTGTTGTTTATTTGCCCAAATTGATAAATCACATTGTTTACATTCAATTGTTGAAAAAAAAACTTCCACGATCAAAAAGATTCCATCCGCCGCAGTGAACCTTGGTGATGATAATTGAAGAAATTTTCCCCTTCATTTCACTAAAGAGTAAAAATTGCAGTATTTTTTTTATATATTTAATTGACACAAGAAAAAAGTAGTCGGCTCAAAAATTTAAATAACGGGAATTTTCAGCAAAGGAACGTCCCTTGCCATCTCCTAATTAATTTATTACTCCACCATCTGTCTTTCGAAGCAGCATTTTGACACTGGCCGCCAAAGTAAATCCCCATTTTAGCATGTGCAGACTTAGAGGCGCGTATTTCATATACGTGCACAAGCCTAGCTTCTCGTCGGTTGACGTCGGCGACACAGCAGCGCCCACGCATCTCTCTCCCTAATGCACTGATTTGCATGGAAGTTATGCGCGCCCTAGCTGTTGAGATTGCCGAATGGATCATCGCAAATTGCTATTAGTCAGCGTTATTGCGGTGTGCGTGCGGCGCGCCGAATTAACTCTCGCGCTTATGCGAGTTTAATTAAATTTTTCGGCGTTGCCTTTGCAAAAAAAAACTGCCTGCGGCGAGTGTGTTTGTTTTGGGATTATTAATGCGCAGTTTGGGCCCAGAGCACCACTGCGATGCATTACGTCATTTGCATATCAAAGGAGAGGTGGTGGCCGCGAGAATGTAAATTAAAATTAGCTTGGCCAGGCTGACTTCATCCCTTAATTTAAGTTGTAAAAACATTTAGAAAAAAATTAATAAAATACATGGAAATTAATTATATCTTAATTTTAGTTTAAAATTAGTTTAAAAAAGGAAAATAAAACAGTTTTAAGAGTGCTTGAAAAAATAGAGAAAGAATAAAAGGGTGTAATTTCTTTAGAAAATATGTAATTTTTACAATTATTCAAAATTCTAAAAAAATCTTCAAATTTTATAAAAGAATTAAAAATAAGTTTGCAGCTTTACTTTAACCAAATCCTTTCCAATGATTCATTGAAAATATTGCCTAATTTTAAGGGTCCTGTAATTTATGGTAACTTTTTTACCTCTAATTTGACACTTTTTGCTACCTTTTGGAAACGAAAATTACAATTTATTGCAAAAATTAAATTTTTAGTGTGCTCAACATACGAGATATCATCGAAATATTTAAAACTAAATGAAAAGTCTTTAAATTTATATGTTATGTTTACCTGTTGTTCTTTTCAGAAAGTACAACTTTTGTAAATACTGCTCATATATTTTCGGGAAAAAATGAGAAATTAAATGTACACACATTTGCGAGAAACATAAATTTGAAAATAAAAATGTAATACTTTATGAAAAGAAATTTAATCAACACGGAAAGAACAATTATTGTGCGTCTTAATCTCATCGATCTCATTTTCTGCGTCTTTCAATTTTTGAGGAACTTCAATTTTACGAGCGTCAATAATCACTGCACGGAAACGGCTGGTTTACCACATAATCTGCATGTACACGTCAGTAAGTACAAACACGTTTTTTTTTTATAATATAATATAGAGTGAGGGGTTTCCAGGATGTGGAAATATGAGAATACTCATTTTGTTGGTGCGATAAGAATTGAAAATTTTTGTACTGCTCAAAAGGCACGGTCTGTGAATGAAGATAATAATCAAGGAAAAAGCATTTGCTTGAGTCCAACTTTTTGTCAGTCAGCAGCGATGGAGGAAGCCGGCAAGATCTCAATTCTCCTTGTCTCCTTCTTAATAGTTTTAGCCATCGTCGTTGGCAACATTTTGACAATCATTGCAGTTTTGAGGAAACCCAAAATGGGAACGGTCTCGAATCAGTTTGTTTTGGGTCTCGCAATTGCCGACTTGCTGGTATGATTTTTAATTTTTCTTTAAATAATAATTCAACCTCTTTTCTTTTGTAATATTTAGGTTGCCTTTGCGTTGCCGTACAACTTGATTGTGATATTTTTCGTTTCGCCAAAAATGAAATTCACTTATCCAGAATTCGTGGGCTCCTGTGTCGCCCCTTTGATGCCTCTGATTGTTTCCTCCATTGCGTCCAATTTGAACTTGCTTCTCATCGGCATGGATCGATTATACGCTGTAAGCAACCCTCTCTCTCACCGCGCTTTTATGTCCAGAAGGTAAAAATAACATCAATCAAAATGTGGAATTTTATTTTTTTGCGAACAGAAAAGCGCGCCTAGCAGTTTGCTGCTCATTCCTCATTGCAACTTTTATGTCGTCTCTGCTTTTTATTCTGAATGATTGGAAAGAGGATGAAGAAAGTCCCTGCGTGAGTATTCAAAATTAATTTGATATTTGTTATTATTTTTCAGTCTGGCAAAAATTTTGAATGTAAAAATTAACTTTCTAATTTTCTTGCAGATTAAAACAAATATGTCATTTGTTTACTATTCCTGCGTTCTGCTTCCAACCTTTGTGATGACCATAATTTTACTTTTCATTGCCTATGGAAAAATTCTGCACGTAGCGGCAACAGTTTCAACCAACGCTAAGAAATCACTAAAAGTAATTATTTAAAAAAAATTTAGATCTTTTTCAAATATTTGCTTTTCTCTTTTTTACAGATGGTTTCTCTCATTATCAGTTGCTACTGTATTTGTTGGCTTCCGTTTATGATTCGTTTGTTCATTGAACAATACGACAAGGATAACCACAACTTTCAGAGCAATACAGCACTCTATTATGCCCAAATTGGAACATTTCTTCTCATGTGTTCAAACTCATTCATGAATCCGATTATTTACACCATGAAATCTGGTGACTTTCGAAAAGCGTATCGGGAAATAATCTTGTGTAAGAAAGAAGTAGTTGCTCAAGATGGAAGTAAACAAGCCACAAGCAATGACGCATGACTCTCTCAGCAACGAGTGATATTTAATTACAAAATTATAACGAACTTTAAATATTTGTAAATTTGTAGACATAATTTTGGTTAATTTATAAATATGGACTTTATTTGATCTCAATGAACTCACCGTTTAATTCTCTCTTAATATGATTATTATTACGGCCTGTAAATTTTGTGTAATAATTTCTGAAAAAGATAATTAAAAAGAAGCTTCCAAAACTTCCAAAAATGTTTAATTTAAGAATTAGAATTTGGTGGCAGAAAAAAATGGCTTTAGTAGGTTTAAAGTTATTTTTAACACTCAAAATTACCCAATCAAAAACAATCTATTTGTCTGTCATTCAGAAAGCTTTGAACGATTATAAAATAATTTAAAAAAAAAACCGAGGGCATCAAAATACTGAATTTAAAATTTAATATCGAAGGAATATCAAGATTACTTTTATTAATTAATTATATGATAATGTTTGGTAAAAATGGATATTTTATCAAAACTTTTGCTTTGACAAGGTGTCACATTTGTGGTGCGCAACAATATAGAATTTAGTGATTAATATAAACGCGCGCGGGCTTTAGTTCCAAACAAAGACAGCCGACACTTTTGCCATTGTTTGTCGAAAGGCTGCCGCTGGAAATACAGCGGTTTGTTCAAGCTGCTTCCTTCCTCCCCAAATATTTATCTCCCGGGAGACCAAACCGCAAATTAATCAAGCCAGTATTCGTAACTCTGAACGAGATTAATGCCGGCAGCGAGAGATTAAACGAGAAATTGCGATCAGATCTACGGCGTTTCAATTCTGCTCAAGTGTGTGTCACTTGATGTGCAATTTCATTTGCCACACTTGACAGCAGCAACATTGTATACGCAAATAATCAGCCGTCTATTTACTGAACGTCAAACACGGTTTAAATGCATGCTTCACGCTTCTCTATCTAACGGCATTAAATTTTCAATTTTAATTGGTAAACCGAGTGTCACTCGGTTGCATAGCGACAAGGTCGGGGATGTTTTGGCGAAAACAGATTAAATCATAACTAAAGAGAGAAGACTGGTGTAAAAATAATTTTCATCTATAATTTAATTCAATTCAAAATTAGTTTGGAAAATTGATCTTTTTGAATTATTGAAACAGAATATTCCAGACTTTTCCAAGAAATTAAAAGCTTTTCTCAAATTTATTTTGAATATTTTGAGATTTTTCTGCAGAAATTTGACATGTATGTGCTGTTAGAAAATGAGATTTAAAAAATCTGATCAAATAATATTGTTCTTGAAAAACTAAGGTTTTTAAACCTGACGTTTTTCAAGTATTTTTTTTCACTTTATAATTATAAAAATTAACTTATAATTTCACCTGTCATTTAAAAATTCATTTCCTTCTATTTAAAAAGCAAGAATGGCATTGGTGATGACAGTTTTCAGGCTGGAATTTCTTCTTCTTGGTCAAAAGGAGAAAGATTTTTGAAGCAATATTATGTTGCTAAGATTTTAATTAGAAATTTGAATGGGAAAATTCTTAGTTTTGTTATGTTTTTTTTTTTAATTCGGCTCTGGCTTAATGGGTTTCTTTGCACATTATTAATTGACAGTAAAAAATAACCTGCTATTTATTTGTTACCTTAAAATTTTTTGTTTCGCAAAGATTGTTTTTAATATCAGGACAAATTTGCTTCAATCAATAAAATCCGGGGATTTTAACTAGTTATTCTTTAAAAGAAAAAAAATATAGAGGCTAGTGTGGGAAAACAATTATTACAGTATTTTTTTTTCACTCCCGTTTAAATGAATAATTAAAAAAAGACAAATTGATTCAAATTCAAATTGTAGAGTCTCGCAAAGTTTGCCACTGATTGAATTTTTTAATTGGAAAATCATCTCAGGCGCCACCTTTGTGAAATGCCAAAGTTCATTCACGTCCCCTTGAATTTGTTACTCTCGCTTCAGACACCAAAAAGCGCATTGAAGCGAAATTTATACCCTTTCGCTAGTGAGAGAAACCGCACCGCCGTGCAAAAATCATCGCTTATATATGAAGCCCGTGTGCTTTCTGCTTGGGCCAGCTTTGACGAGAGCGAGTATCGAACAGCTGGAAGTGGGGCACGGCCAGATTTGCACAGCACCATTGGCAGGAGGCTGCAATTTGATCGCACCGGCCGGCCGTGAATTGAGCGTGCGAGAGTTAATAATACCAGAGCGAGTGCCCGCGGCCAGAAACAGATAGTTTGAAACACTTCGCCGCCCTCGGTACATAGATAAGGTATGAAAATGCGACGCTGATTACGTAATTATTAATGTAAAGCATATGAGAGTGGTGAAAATTCCTTTTTTATCAAAAAGGCAACGATTTAAACACAAATTTCTGGAAAAGTCATCTGAAAATGATTTTTACGAAGAAAAAAAATAGCATGTATATTAATATATTTAATATATATATATGTATATGAATATTTAATATTTTCCATCATTTCTTCTTTAAAAATAGGATTTTTTTTTAGTTTTTTATTTTTATTTTTGGGTTCAACTTTATTTAAAAAATCATCATTTTTTGCTGGCATATCCTTAATTTTGGTCCACGCGATGATGACAAACAAAGCTGAAAACTAAAAGAGAGAAAAAAGATTAAGAAAGGATGTGGATTTGGTTGGGGTAGGGGAAGGTCAGATTATGATATCTTTAGAATATATACCGCCTTAGAATATTTTATATTTGATTTGAACTCAAATTTAAGGCATCATTGATTTTTAAAATAGGCTTATATTCGACCATAATTTTGATGAGAAAAAAATTTCTTGAAGAATCTAAGGATTTTTCTAAGAATAATTGTAAAAAAATAACATAAATAAATTCTATGAAAAAAATAACGGTGTTAAGTCTTTCAGCACCAGTCAAGTTGAACCACAAGACTTACTCGGATGCGCTTGGATTGGTGATTTTTAAGTTGTAAATTAAATTCTAGTACAAGTTGCGTGTTGATGGAAATTTATGCAAGTTGTAATTGGAGAGACGAGTGCTGGAATGCCTTCAAATGCACTTCTCATTTCCGTCGTGCTGATTGCGAGTTATTGAAAGAGAGACTCTGTGAAAGGGTTGGCTCTCATTTGGCGGCATTGAAAGAGCGTGATGAGAGTCGCGGGGGAGAATTTGTTTTAATTCACGCCAAGCAAAGGTTGCATTAGTAAGAGTGACTCAAGGAAGTGCATTAGTTGATTACAACATTTACCCGTCCTTTCATTAAAATACAGTAGAAATGATAACTATCATGAAAATTATTCAATTTTCATTTTAAATCTAGGAAAGTTTCAACTGAATTTAAAAAAAGTTACACTTTTAATCCACAGTAGATTTTAATGAGCTGGAGGAAAAGTTTAATATTAATTGTTAAATAAAATTTGAAATTTAGAATAGACTTTAATTAAATAGTTGGAGTTAAATAATAATTTTATTATTATTTTCATTTTTGAAAAAATAAAATAAGTATTCTTATGGATTTCTTTGAAATTACTGCACCCTAACATTATTTTTATTTTCTTTAACAGCATTTTTAATATATAAAACGCGATCAGTGATTATTAAATATTTAGAAATAATCCTTATTGCGTGCGCAAATTTTTTTCTCGTCAAGTACAAAAATATTTCTAGATTTTTTTCTTTTGCAAAATGAAATATTGCTATAATTTACAAAGTACAAAATTGCCAAAATATATGGCTACGTTAAACTCCTACTACGACGATAAGCAAAATAAAATTTTCAAGAATATTGAGAGCTGGGGTGGAATTGGAAAGTCACACAAGTGTGAAAAGAGTTGAATAGGAGCAAGTCGGAGGCCCAATTTGTTTATCGGGTGGAATACAATGAATAGAACCGTGTGTGTGTGCGTCTCCTCGCGGCGTGTTGTTGTTTATGTTTGGCGAGGCAAAGTATAAAGTATAAGGATGGTATGGTATGGTGTGTGCGAGATTTATGCGCCGCGCCGCCGAAAAGAGGGGGCCAGCGGAGGCGGCGGTGGCGCGGCAACGAGGAGCGCAGCCAGCCAGTCGGTCGCGATCCGTGGCGCAGCGAGCATGTTGAGGGCCGGCGCCGCTGCCGACGGTGGACGGCGCGCGGTCTCCCCGCACCAAAATCACCTCCACTGACCGACACCACATGGCGTCGGCGCCCGCAAACGCATCCTCCGCGAACGAGTCCAGCGGCGGCGGCGACGACGAAGGCCCGCCGTACGGGCCGGCGGCCAGCGTCGCCATCGCCCTGGTGTTGCTGTGCGTCATCGTCGGCACCATCGTCGGCAACATCCTGGTGTGCGTGGCCGTGTGTCTGGTTCGCAAACTCCGCAGGCCGTGCAACTACCTGCTCGTGTCGCTGGCCGTCTCCGACCTGTGCGTCGCCATTCTAGTCATGCCCGTCGCGTTGTTGTACGAGATCCTGGGCCACTGGAGCTTCGGCCCGGTCATCTGCGACCTCTGGGTGTCGTTTGACGTGCTCTCCTGCACGGCCAGCATCCTCAACCTATGCATGATCAGCGTAGACCGGTACTACGCCATCACCAAACCGCTCGAGTACGGCGTCAAACGCACGCCCAAACGGATGATCGTGTGCGTGAGTCTGGTGTGGCTGGGCGCAGCGTGCATCAGCCTGCCGCCGCTGCTCATCCTGGGCAACGAGCACGGCAAGGACGGCAACGCGTGTTCCGTGTGCCAGAACTTTGGCTACCAGATCTACGCCACGCTCGGTTCCTTCTACATCCCTTTGACCGTCATGATCGTGGTTTATCACAAAATCTTCCAGGCGGCCAGGAAGATCGTGTTGGAAGAGCGCAGGGCCCAGTCGCACCTGAGACTGACCCACGCCGAAGATCCGGCCCCTCCGGTCCTTTTGGTGAGCAACAAGAACGGCACCGAGACCAAACTGTGGCCTGAGAAGTCGGGCCAGGCCCAACCAGTCATGTCGAAGTCGCGGCTGCGGTTCACGCTGGCCAAGGAGCGCAAGGCCAGCACCACCCTGGGCATCATCATGAGCGCCTTCACCGTGTGCTGGCTGCCGTTCTTCGTGCTGGCGCTGGTGCGGCCGTTCCTGCCCAACCAGGACGGCATTCCGAGCTCTCTGTCCAGCCTGTTCCTGTGGCTGGGCTACGCCAACAGCCTCCTCAACCCCATCATCTACGCGACGCTGAACAAAGACTTTCGCAAACCCTTCCAGCAGATCCTCTACTTCCGCTGCAGCTCGCTCAACCTGATGATGCGCGAGGAGTTCTACCACTCGCAGTACGGCGACCCGACGGCCAACGTCACCGTCGGCGGCCACACCACGCGCCACCACGCCAACAACGACTACTACTGCCCCTCCGAGTCGCTGGCCGTCCGAGAGACGAGCGGCCACCAGCAGTCGCCCACCGAGGTCAACGGAGACAGCAACGGCGGCGCCGCCGCCGCCGCAGAGACCGCGACGGCGCCGCGCGACGACGAGTCCTTCCTCTAATTCCACCAGTGTGCGAATTTCAAAGACTGATTATCTTTAGTGTGCGCCCCGAGCAGCCGTGTGCGAGTGTCCAGACTATCTTCGTTGGTGACAGTTCCGTGCGTCCGATGGACACACGCGCCGGCAGCTCCGTCTCTCTCTTCTCTCACTCTTTCTCTCGTCGCAGATTTGTGTTAAATGTCGTTGGCCTCCCACTGGAAATAGGTTTTGTATAATATAATTATGTATGTGTTATGGATGAAGATGTTTACTGAGACGACGTGTTCCTTTTCCTATCGCTGAACGTGCACCAACTACTGCATCTAAAACAAAATACACAGATATAATCGCGATTTCTCAATAGTACGACGAAAAGGCTCCAGCTTGTCATTCAAAGAGGCAACAAATAAATCAGGTATTATAAAACTAACTGAAATTTTTAAGCTCAAAATTATCTCACATTCACACTGAAAATCTGATTAAATTTAAAATTCTGTCAACATTTCACACAGATAATTTACTCAAAATCAGTTAAATCTTAAATTATTAAGTTTTTAGAGGCGAGATTTAGATTGAAATTAAAATTTTAAATATATTTATTTATTATTTTTTCCCTTTATACAGGCCAGAATAACTACAAATTTTAATCCCAGAACAAAAATAAACCCATACTGTAATAATCGATAATTCGTTTCCTTTTTACTAAAAAGTTAATCTCCAAGGTTTCGTTCCAATTGAACAAAATGTATGCAGAGAAAAATTCCAATTCCGGCTCATGTTGCCGTGAGTTTATCTATTGCTCCAGCTCGTTTGCAATTTCACGCCGCGCGCTAGATGAAAAGCTCGGTCGGCCCGCGCCTCATAATTATTTTTTCCACCAGCCTCGCGGCTACGATAGCAAAAGAGGAAAAACCTTGGCAGTTGTGAAACGCGGTTGTGCATTTACTTTTGACTCGCGAGATGCAATTTCCCGTCCGTCCGTCTGCAGAGACGCGATCACTTTCAATTGGATAATCATCTGAGGGATGATGAGCGCGGCCGTGATGCATTAGACGTGCAATTACTCCCTTTTTCGGTGCGACGCGAATGACCTAGTAAAACGGGGATAGGCAACCGCGCGTCGGCAATAAATCAATGCGCAGACCGGCAAAGAGATTTTTCTCTCTCGATTTGATCCGATGAAAAGAAACCGATGTCGAGATTTTCCTCAATGAAATCGTTCCTTTTTGCTGCCATGAAGAAAACCTGTGGCACTCGGAGAATATTAAAAATATTTATTATAGGAGATTGATAGCTGATTAAATTGAATTATGAAAAAAATCAGAAGACCACAGTTGATAATAATTGCCATTTAATTTATTTTAAATTGGAAATCTGCATTTAATTAAAAGTTTGGAGGAGGAAATTTAATTGTGGTTCCATTAATACGTCTCACAAATTTTAGTTTTCATTATATTTCACGTTCATAAAATTATTTTTCATCCATATTGTTTAAATTTCAAATTATATTTCAAATTTCCTTATAATCATCTTTTTTTAAACATTTCAGTACCAAAAATTTCATTGAAAAATACTATGCTTTTTCAAAACAAACTTGTAAATTCTTTCATTGAAATGAGAAGCGTTCTGTGTTTGCGGCTTCCTCTCATAAATATTTTAAAAGTTTTCAACTCCCGGACGTGTCCAATTTTAAAAACCCTTTGAAAAAGATCTCATTAAAAAAGTGGCGAATCATCAAATAATAAAATTTTAAGTGCTGTTGAAAATCGAAGTTAACTTTACAAACGTTTTCCAAATTACGTGCCACATGTGGCAACGAGAGTTAAAAAATTTCCACGGCTACCGCAAATGGAATTATAATGACCGCTAGTTTCCAGAAACGTCCGGTCGTTGTGGGTCGCAGCTGCCGTGCGAGATCATTATAATGCACGGAAAAATCACCTCGCGCCATTGTACATACGGCGGCGCGAAAAATGAAACACATTGCACAGATTTTATTCCTTTACGACCCAATTTCACTCTCTTTACGGCTTTTGCATTATGTGCGAGAGGCTCTTTTTACGATATATTTCTCCATTCGTCGCTGCCATATCAAAAAATAATAAAACAAAAAGTTTTGATGTTTGCTTTTCACCGAAGCAGTCGTAATCCAATTTGAGTTATTTCGGGAATATCTTTCGCGGCGTGTTTTTGTTTACTTAGCACTCCTGCCGGCACTTTGTCAAAAGTTTGCCCACTTTTTCGCGCTAAGGCCGAGATGCGTCGCCGACGGAAAAGTTTTTGGGTCTGTCAAAGAATTCGCAGTTGTAATTCGAATGACGCAGCAACTTGTCAGAATCCATCTTAATACGAAACGTGACAATTTATCAGAGAGTGACTCTCAACTTTCAAAGTTCGCGGATCATTCGAGATGGATAAAAAGAATTTCCACCCCCGGGGAAAGGAAATGTGGGTCACATACTGCGCTAAAGGTTTTTATTTGCGAAGCTGTAATGAAAGACGGTACTTACTTTTTACTTTGCTTCTTCCCCTGAGTTGCATGACTCCTAAAACAGAAAAAAGTCGATTAAAATATACATACCCGTTGTTGTTTCACAGAAAATATTAAAAATAAAAATAGAAAAAATTGCTAGAATTGTCATATAAATCTATTTCAATGGTAAAATTTGCCTTCATATCCTTCAAATATTTGTTTTGAAAAAGTATAAAATTATCAATTAACTTAAAAATACTTACAAGAAATAAATTTGTTACAATTTATTAATTTCTGGTGATTTAATAGTACTAATTCCTCCCTAAATTACTTGAATAACCATTAATTATGCTAAAAATTGATCTTGACCCACTTACAATTTTAAACTAATTTGGAGAGGAGAAACTGTTTTCAATGTGGAAAAATAAAGAATTTAAAAACATTTTTAATTATACTTTACATATATAATCATTTCCCATTCATTGCTTATTTTCAAACAGTTAATTCAGCCTGTTTCACTTGAAAATGAATATTTAAAATATTTTTAAAAAGTTTTCTCATTTAAATTCTAAAAGCGAATTCAGTTAATTTTTATTGTTTTTAATAAATTGTTTACTAATTAATTGCCATTATTTTAATTTTTCATCCATCAAAGTTAAATTTTAATTTATCAGAAGAGCTCATTATTATAACAAGCCTTATAATTCAAGTCTTTGATAAACAAGACTGCACGATTAAATTTTTTTACACGGAATTATTTTTTCTGGTTTCAATAAGATTTGCCAATGGCTGCTCAAAGAATTCAGTATGTATAAATCAGATAAAATTTTTATGTCACATTCTCATTTTTGTTGCTTTTTGCCTAGCAAGAGAATCATTTCCCATTTCCGTTGCTCTTTTTCTCTCTGTGAAAACAAGGGATTTCCTCGATCCTCTTACAGGAGAATGAAAAGCAGCCCCATCTTTTCTACTCCCCTTTGAAATTTATTATATCTTCAATTAAAAAAATGGACTGTGCGCCGTGCAACGACAAGGGCGTTCCTTCATCAATGACACACTGTAATCAGTCACTTGGACACAAATTCAATAATGCCGCTGGCGAAACACATCCATCAATTCCAATTCATTTTGCCTCCAACCTCGATGCTTTTCCCAATCCTCCCGGTCTGGCTAATTCAGCGGAGAGTTTTTTTTTTCTTTTTATTTGCTTTTCCTGGGTACGTTTTAATGCAATTTCCAAGTCACCCACTTTGTTTTTATTTTCGCTCAGAGGCAGAGGCACTCGCTTTAATTTTGGTAATTGGTCGGTCGCGCTAGCTCTGCCAGTCGGACTGACAGGTAGGAAATTTAATTTAAAATGGGACTCGAGTGTGTTCCCGGACTTTTTTAATTTGTGTCCGTCCGCGCGCACTTGACATTTCGGCACCTATATAATGCGTGCGTGGGCGTTCGAGCTATTTCTGATGAGAAAAGCAAACCTTTGTCCGATTAATAACAGGTGAAAAATTCGTGTGCTTTGTAAAAAAAAGTTCAAAAGCCTTTGAGCCTCTGCTGAAATTAATTCACAGTCTGTTTGCTTTTAATTAAAATTTAACGCGCCAAATTTGAGCTTCACCAAACACGGAAATGATTTTAGTGCAATGTTTGTCTATTGGCAAATTTATTTGTGTTAATTGGAGGTTCCTGGAAAATTTAAATCCAATTATTATTATATTTGAGGAAAATCAATGAATGAATAACAATAAAGATTATTCCAGAAATAAAACCATTTTAAATAATTAAAATAATTACCATCCAAATCCTCAAATTGATGCTTTTTTAATATTTTATCAAATACCCAACAAATTGAATTTCAATTATTTTCATTCTCAAATTAATTGGAATATAATTAGTATAATTTCAATAAAAAACTGCGTATTAATTCATAATCATTATGGTCATTCATCATCATCACTATCATTATCATCATCATCCATTTATCCTGTCATTCATCTTCATTCATATTATACGAATTTTACTTATAAAATCTTATTTATTAAATTAGTACAAATTTTATCACCCGTCTAAATTCCCAAAAATTCTTAATACAGAGCAATTCATTTTCAGTTTGTAATATTTAAAAATTGATCTTGCCTTTTTTTTATAAAATATCAGGTCTTTTTATGTTGATTAAAAATTTGTTTTCATTGCCACCGTCAAAATTTCAGCTCTGCTACAAAACCGCACATTACACTCCATTTCGCATTCTCCAAATTATTTAATTGCACTTTCCCATTTTGCTCTCTAATCCTGCGCGTAACAGCTTTTCCGTCCGGACCGTATCTCCCCTGAATGCCGGTCCAAAATTAAATTAACCATCGCCATTTTCGGCCTGAACTTGGGTCTCTCTCCACGGCAACGCACCCTTATATAGCGAACAACAATAATTCAGCGCACGCAGAACCAGCATTATTTAATTGCAAACAGTGCACGCACCTGAACTTACGTAGTACACGACAAAGGGTTGCTTGATTCTGGGAGCACCGCAAGAGAGAGATTGCGCGGCACAATGGGTCACAAAGCACGGCTTTTGTCCCACATTCGGTGCGCTTTGTCAAGGAAACGTACGGGTCTGAGCGTTAATTCCCGAAAGTGATGGGCAATTAAACTGTTCGTGCTGCTGCGGTGAAACGTGATTAGAATAATTTTCCCTCAGGAATCAGAATTTCTGGAAAATGTATTTAAATACGGGCTAATTATTAGCTGAAAGTTGCCCAGTGGTGAAATAACTTGAGTTCAAAGACAACTTTTCATTTCGCATAAAAAGAGTGACTTTAAAACTTTTAATTAAACCACCTTATTCCCGCAAAGCTGGTTGGTTTTTTCTTGAACATGTTTTTCTTTTGAAATTTTCCATGCTTTTATTTGAAATTTGTTTCAATCATCACCTGGGAATTCATTCATCATCAATGGAGAATAAAAAATGAATAATAAATAAATCGTTACAATTCACAATTTTATACAAGTTAAAATTATATGAAATGATATTGAATTGGCCAAATAAGAACAGTATTTTAAATATTTACTTAAATATTCTATATCATTTTTAATTTATTTCATCTCAATTTTTTTAATATTCTTGGTTGTTTAGGTAAAAAAATATTTTAATCTCAGACCAACTTTACTTTTTTTCCAAAACCATTTTATTTAAAAGTATTTCAATCGACTCTTTTTTATCAAAATTAATTTCTTTTAATATGTAATTAATCCTTCGTGGTTTAAAAAGTTGTGTAACATATGACAATCTTGAGATTGAATAAGAACTCATTAAAAACAAACAAAAATTCATTTTATTAATTCAAAAAATTGATTGATTTCATTTACTTGATTTCTATGGAATTTGAGACCTTTTTTAACAAACTGGCACATTCTTTTTAATTCGCTTCCGTCAGTATTCAAATTGTGTCTAGTTAATCAAACTCATTGCGCAGGAAAATCAGGCAGGCGGGAAACGAAAAAAATAAAGCCATTCCTCTTCTGCCACCACATTATCTTTCCAATCTGCTATAAATTGCTAGAGCAACTTTGAAGCGTCTGTCGCTTTTGAAAAAAGAAAAACCAATCGCTGAAAATCGTCCTTTCTCGCAATACAATCAAGTCTGCACCGCGCGACCGATGAATAAATTTCCATAGAAATAATGGCTAGCTCTGCATAAATTTATATCACACGAAATAATTTTATATCGATCGAACGCTGGCCTTTTCTGTTAGTTCTTTATCGAGACACCACCCACGGCGAAAGAGCAGCCCTTCCATTGTACTCATCACCGTGATTTACGTCCGACCAGAAAACTACTTCCTCTTTTTTCGTGTGAATAATTTTTCTGTTCTCACACAAAATTCACAATTTATTGTCAACTGGCTCCGCGCCAAGTTTAATTCCGCCCCGGTGCCAAGAAAAGTGTGGACCCTTGTTTGCCTAAATTAATTAACTCATTAGGCCTGATAACGTTTTAAATGCGACCCATCAATTAACTTCTCGTCCCGGATTATTTTTCACTTTCCCTTCCCCAACAGATTTTTGTGCATAAATCTTGGTTTTTACGAGCCGAGGGGGCGAAAAACTTGGCAGTGAAATCCTTTCCGCAGAGTGCGAAAAACAATTGTGTAATTTCACACGTCGCCTCGGCTGCCAAATTTTTTCATCTTGTTAATCTTTCCGATGAAATGTTACACACCAAATTATCTGATATAAATGTTGACAGATTCAGTTCTTTTGTTATCAATACCAAAGTGTGTCATTCAAACTAGGAAAATATTTGAACAGACAAGCTTGAGCGTCTTCGTCCAAGACTTACTTCGATTTCATTGGGACATACAGGGAAATGAGACGCTTAAATGGAATCTGCCAAGTGGTACTACCAACTCAAGTAAAAATCCTTTCAAATCGAATTTTGATAGTTATTAAAAATTTGTGTGTCTATTTGACACAATTTTTCAAAAAATATGTTGTCTTGGAAAAAAATTTAATGCAATCAGAAAAAAGAAAATTCAAAAGTACACAGCT